TTTCTGATGCCGATCCAGTCAAAGTTAATCCAAGACCTTCTCTGGTTCAGTCAGATCGACCCTAAGATCTCCCTGATTCGTATTCCAGTTGAAGATATCCCAAGACTCTTATCTGGTCCAGTTAAATCGATCCTAAGATTTTTCTGATGCCGATCCAGTCAAAGTTAATCCAAGACCTTCTCGGATTCAGTTAGATCGACGATAAGATCTCCCTGATTCGTATTCCAGTCGAAGTTCAGACCACCTATCAACAGTCTCCAAATGGAATCTGTAAGCCTATTCCTGATATCACAAGGCTGATACCACTTCATGTGAGTGCAAATTTCTGGGCACTCTAGTGTTCAATCATCTTCCACCTTCGGATCACGAAAGGCCCGAAAGCCAATCTATATCCTCAGGTTTAAGAAGATTGAACATGGGCAGCTGTTGTACCCCAAAATTTTCCCTCCCATATTTCTTAAAACATTGCAAGAAAAAAATCCCCAAGTGGTCCAAGATTGCTCAAGAGTTGGACAGTCAAACTATCTCCTAAGGCAGTCAACCTCAAATTAGGGTTTTGTGTTGCATTAAGGTCCTTGCATCCAAATGACCTCAAGTTCTCCACAACGTACTAATATGTTCTCAAGATCATCCATGTCAAATTTCAAGCCTTGCAGAGGAAGTTTGCTCAGTCAATTGCCCAAAGGGTTCAAAAATCGACTGTGCTAGGGCAAAAGTCAACTGTGACCCAAATGCAGTCAAAATTTAAGATTTTTTGTCAACATTCTCATTTTGAAGGATATTTCATCATTTGATCAATGTTTGATCATGATTCATCAAGGATTGCTCAAAATTCATCAAGACTCAAAAGTTGCTAAATTAGGGTTTTGTAGGAAAAGTCAACTCAACTTTGACCAAGCATAACTTTCTCATACTTTATGAGAAATTACCAATCCAAATCTAATTTTGAAGAGGATGCAATTTCCTACAATACATATTCATACCCCAAGATAAGAAAATGCACTCACAAAAAGTTACAAATTTGGACATTATAGGTCATTTTTGAAAGTCAACAAAAACACCTTTTTTCCAAAGCTTATAACTTGAACATGGAATATAAAAATGAAATGAGACCAAAAGGGTTGGTTATAGGACATCTCAAGCTTTCTAAAAAGTCCAAGAACACCTCCAAAAGTTCAAAATTGAAGAAGTTATGCATTGTTGAAGTTGGGCATTTTTGTAAAATTGCCAAAAGTCAACTATCCCCATAACTTCAAATTTTGTCAAAGGGCCCCATTCTTTTCCACTTGATTTGATCTTGTCACACTACACACGTGTCCTAGCTTCAGCCTTATGACCATTTATCAATTTTATTATTTAATTTGATTTTTTTAATGAATTATTTCATTTTAAATCAATTTAAATCAAATAAAATCCCAACATTGATTATTTGATCTCTTTTTGGCTATTTCAGGATTAAATCATCATCATCAAGTGAATCAAATTCGTATCATACATTCCATGTGCAAAAAGATTGGATTTTGGACAAAATAAGCAAGTTTTCAATGGAGGATCAAATCAAATCTCCAAGCATTGATTTACAAGGATTCAACCCACATTTGTTGACTAATGCATTGCTTATTACTTATACAAGCCAAAGCACACGAATTCAAGGGCTGGAGGCTGCAGAATCATCAAAAGCAAAACTTGGAAAATTGGCAAAAAGTGTGAAACTGAAATCGTGCATAGAGACCAATTCAGAAGGAAAGCTCAACGCTAATCCATTGCTGGACAATCACTGAACCTTTTGCAATCAAAAGCAAGCTCTCATACCCTCTCAATCGCGCTGTAAGTATCCCAAAATACCGCCCTGTATTCGAAATCATAATCCCATATTCTTGCATTTTTTTGATAAATCTTTGGTATATTCATGATGCTTATCCAATTTTTGAACTTTTGGCATTATTTGATTGCGTTTATATGAACCATAGCCCTGTAACCGAACCTAGGGTTTCGTAGCTTGTTTTTTGGGCATTTTATTTACAGGCAAAATTGATGCCATTGATGGACATAGACGTGATCAGGGAAGGTAGACGAGCATGACCATGTGTTTGGAATCAATTTCCATGGCCTAGAGTGGATTTTAGGGTGCACATACGAATTTAGCTGCGGATGTAAGTCCGCAGGTAAATATCCAGGGTTGAACGAAGAAGATGAAGACGTGGCCCTCTCTCAATGGCTGGTTCAAACTTGGCGCGTGTTTTTTTTTTATATTTTCTGGCATTTTATTTGTTTTCCTATATTATTATTTTTGTTTAATCAATTGACAATTGAAGCATAATGATCCAGTGGTCAAGGGGAGCGCTCTCAAGGCGTTGTTGGCTGGGGGTCAGTGGTTCGATCCCTGTCTCCAGTGCTTTGCATTTTCCTTTGTTTTATTATGCAATCAGGTACAAAGCAATAATGGAAGCCTACCATGGTCCTCAAATCCCAAAGCGCCATATGGCCCCAGGCCAGATCTGGTGATCCAGGATGAAGGCCTATGGTGGGATCTAGTCAACCAACGCATGGAGAATCAGGAAAGTCAACACAGACTTGCACAAATGGGCCTTGGAAATTGCCATTCTCACCCCCTGATCAGGCCCAAACCTCTAACTCTCTCTATTTTCTATTTTATTTATTTATTTTGTTTAACTATTTTTCATAATTTAACTAACCAATCAAACTTTTTTTTCTTAATAAAATTAAAAACCAAAAAATATTTTGTTTATTAAATTAAATTCCAGCATTTTTATTTTTATTAATAATATTAATTTAATTAATTTAGTTTTAATTAGGAATAACTTTAATATATTTTGCAATAATTAAAATTAATTTAGACAATTAGGTTTTATTAACATTAATCAAATTTATTTTTATTTCTTTAAATATCAAAAACCCAAAAATATTTTTTATTAATTAATTTATTTATTAATTTAATAATTAACTTAGTTTAATTTCTCTTTAATTAAAAAATAACCAAAAAATGCTTTCTTTCAAAAAAGGGTCAAAACCCTAAAAAACTCGCCCGATTGAATTTCCCGCATGCGGTCCATTTTATTTCAATATTGTATCTGTTTCCCAGAATGTAATAATTTAATAGGACGTTTAAATATTTTTACCGCTTTATTTATTTTCCGCATTTTAATTTCAAGGGTTGCTTTTGGCGATGTAAATACCCGACGTTTGATACCTTCTGCAATTTAATTTTCGCAACTTATAAACTGTTAGATGTTTGATAATAGGGAATGCATGACAAGATCAAATGTTTAACCTAAAATCAACATAGATAACCATTGACATGTGCAAAGACAAAAATTAACTGAAAACGACACACTCGCACATGCGCACTCTTAGGGTACACCTCACTTGGTTGCCTTCGAACGTGGTCATTAAGTATAGGAAGTTTTAGAGTTCGCCCTCTTGTCCAAAGATCATAGTTGCCTCGAAACGGTTGCCTCGGAAAAATGATCTAAGACATTAGGGTTACCGCTAAGGCGTCCTAAACGTTGCTTTAGTGACCGCACGTCCCTTAATCGAATTGACCCTTAAAAAACTCCAACGACGGTGCTAACTACTCATCTATAGTGGGATAGCACTGTCTAAAGGACATTAGCACAAATTGATTCCTTTTTCAAGTAGGTAGATGGTTCTTAAGTACTTGCTCTCTCAAAACAAAACAAAACAAAACAAAACTTTTCACACTTACACTCCTTTTCAAACAAAAAACTTCTTCAAACCCACAAACACAAAGAAAAACAAATTTTGAAAATACTTTGAGCAAGTACCTAAGAGCCCGTGGATAACCACGGATAGAAAGGGTGCTAATACCTTCCCTTTCTATAATCTACCCCCCGGACCCGAGAAACATCTCGAAAAAGGAATTTTTCTGTGCTTTTTTCCTTTCCTCATTGGATAAAATAAAAGTCGGTGGCGACTCTTGCTTACCGCGGCATTTTGCGAAAACAAACGCAAAACGCAAACCAGCATTCCAAAAAACAGTCAGTTCTTTCCCACCGTATCACACCTGACCCTCTCATGTAAGAGGGTATTTATAGCCTCTAGCGTTGGGCCAAGATCCACGTATTGGACCATGCAATTAGGCTCAATAATAAAGACTGTCAGGGTTACGTGTGTAGTGGGGTCCAGCACGTGACCTCCTCCCTGGTCAACTTCTCTGAAATAATAAAGAAGTTGGACCCATTATTCTTGGTGGACAGGATGGTTGGTGGTTACAGATAGTTGTTGACCACGTTCGCCTAAGAGGCACATGGAAAAATCCCCAACAATTATTAACGTGGGCTGGATGTCATTGGGCTTCAAAATCGCTGGATTGAGCCTGCTCAACGGTGGATCAAGTGCCATCCCAGCCCAGAACAGGTGTGTTTCATCAACCTTGTGAAATAACACCACTTAACCTATAAAAATACATAATTTTCACTATAAATTTTAAATTTCATGTTCTCTACATTCGAGTTGTCATCGATATTATGCAAACTCGAATATAAATTAAATTATTTTGGATATTTTTGTGCATTGACTGGAGGATGATTCAAAAATACTTTAGAAAAATAATTACATTCATAATTCAAGACTGAATCCATTCAACTAAAAAATATTATCCATGCTTAACAACTCATTTCTTAAAGTAAATTGTCTATCAATCATACATTGTAGGAGACAATCATGTTTAAATTTCAGGATACGAACACCATTACAAAGTGTTGAACATGATTGAAAAAAAAAAACAAGTGTTTGGAACGAAAGGACAAAACAAACACAAAAATACAAATAGTTTTAGAGTCATGTTACCCTTGCATTTGGAAATAATGTGTGTAGTCTTTTATGATATAATTGTCATTTAAAAACAAACCTTTATTACAAATCACCAACCATATAACAAATGATAATACATAAACCATAACGAATAAGAAATCAAGAAATAAAACAAAACTATCATTTATAATAACTGAACAGTGTGACTAATAGGAAGCAGTTGGACAGAAAGTGATATGATAATCTGATCCAGAACATGTGCAAGTGCTTGAAGCATCATCATAAGCATAACTATACGCAGAGGGACAAGCACTCTTAAACATCTCCGAGTATTGCGTCGGACTACACCTCTCCGGACTCGAATGTTCGCCGGTGCAACAAAACTCCTCCGTATTAAACGCCGCACACGCACTCTTACACGCCACCACAGAACCTCCTTCCTCCGTCACCTGCAACTCCGCCGGACAGTGACCGTTCATATCCGCAACACAACCCGCATACTGACAGTCACCTGTTCCTCCGGTTGCATGTATCCCCATCCCCACATTGTAACCGTCCACCAGACTCACGTCGTAGAAATCCTTATCTCCATTCCCGCTTCCGATAGTAAACTCCGCTAGTGTCACTGGAGGAGCACCTCCGCCGTTGCAGTTTAACCCTCCCGCGCAGTCTCCAGTGATGCAATTTCCGTTACCTGCACCGTCGAAGTTACAGCCGGTTCTACCCCAGAAACGGCCTGACCAACCCGACGGAGCAGTGAGCTGAAGAGAGGAACCTGGCGGTAGAGAAAACCCTCCGTCTTCGAGAAGTGCAGCGCCGTTTCCGGAAAGTGTTCCAGGCCAGATCGTGCTTTTGCAACGGTTTTCTATGGTAAATACAGTCCCCGTAGCTACGTTACCTGTAAAATTAAACCGTACTAATAAATGTAAAAACAAAAAAAAATAGTTAAACAAAAACTAAAGATATCGAACGTAAAACTAGTGTTTAATTTCTTGTTCACCTAGTAGAAGCATTAGAAGAATGAGTAATGGAGAGGTTTTTGAAGCAGTGAAAAGCGCCATAAGTTTTGGTTGAAACTTGAAAGGTTAATAGAGTTGATCGAAGTTGTAATGAGTTTCAGTAACTGAAATGATGAATTTATATTACAGTAGTAGTTGGGTTGCTATATTTTTGAAGCAGTTTAAGATTGTGGGTGATCTTGGGGTGGGACGTGCAAACGTTTCAAAACTACCCATCTTTGAAAGGCTTCAACTATATGAAATATTTTTTTACAATATGAAATTGTATTGAAATGGTATTGAAGTAAAAATCTAGTTCATGCCTGAAATTGAAAGTGTACGTGTTTAATTGCTTGGAAAGAGTTCCTTAAATAAATTGCGTGCCACAACCCACGATCTGTGTGCTGAGTATCCGAAAAAGGAAAATAGAAAAAGAAGTAAGGTAATGAGAAAAAATTAAGTATGTAAGTAGGGCTGAAAATAAGTGGAGCTTAGTCAAATCTTACTTTAACTCGGTTCGATAAGAATTGGTTCAGTTTAAAATTTGACTCGGGTTTATTACGATTTTTTTTTCAGTTTGAATTTAGTTTATTCAAAGTTCACGAACAATTGGGTTCATCTCAATAACTCGAACTCGATTAGACTAAATAGTTCAAAATAGATAAAAAAATTAAAAAGAATTAAATTTCAATTTTTTTACTAAAGGCCGTTTAATTTTAAACATTGCCGAGTGAATTTTTTTTTAGAAGAGAAATTGTCTTAAAACTCTTGGATATAACTCATGAAAGTTATGAGATCTATATATAGGACAATTAAATTAATCTTATTTATCCTTATTGTATTCATAAGAATTATCGATCGAGTTCTACATGATTTTTTTAAGCTCAAACTCAACTTGTTATAAATTTATGAACAACTCCGTTCAACTTGTTAGGTTCTACTCATTTGTTTCACGAACTTAAAAACCATTTTTATAAAGTCATTTTTTTTTTATATATTTGATATTTTAAATTAATATTATTTAAAATAAAAAATATCGAAATAAAAAAAAATTATAAGATTAAAATTTAACTATGTCTCATAAATCTATTAATTTAAAAACTACACAACTTTCAAGAGATACATTTGAAAGTCTAATTAGAGTTTAAAGATATTATCATATGATGTAGAATTTCTTAGAAGATATTTAGAAGATATTTTTCTTAAATTAAAAGATATTTAGAAGATATATTTAATTTTCTTAAAATTAAAGAAATTTAGAAGATAGTTTTTAAATTAGAAAGTATATGCTGATTTTTAAATTATTTTCTTAAAAAACATAATTTATATGATGTTGATTTTAGAAATATTTTGCTCACTTGAGAATATAAATTATCAATTAAAACCATTAGATTAAAAGAAAATATATGGTTAAGATTTGAAGTAAATATTTAAACATACTCTTAAAGACAATATAATCTATCTCATATATAATCGAGTTGACTCATGAACCTAATGAGTCAAACTATGTATAGTTCAAAGCTCCTTTAGTTCATGAACCTAGTTCAACAGTTTAATTGTCGTACCAAATTTCGAATTATTTTTGAGTTTGTTCGATTCATTTCCAGCCCTACTAATAGGAATCCCTTCTCATCCCATGATGGTGAGGGTGGTCACCAGCAACAACATCAATAATGACTGATCTGCCATAGCGAAGATGCTAACTACTATGGAGAAGCTGCATCACTAGAACGAGATGTTATAGGAGAACATTCGTGATCTACAACAACATCAACCAAAACCAATTAAGACGAGCAAGAAGACCTTGTGGACCCTCAACCCTTAGCAGTAGAGATTTGAGACGCCTAGTTCTCCGATAATTTCAAGCCACACTCTCTGATGATATTCAATGGAAATAGTGGTACCCAAGAATACATCATCGCCATCAACACACAAATGGCCATCATCAAGGCGGTTGATTCCAGTAAATGTAAGTTAATTGCAGGAAAATTAAAGGAGGCAACTCTCTGATGGTACATGAGCATCCCAAGGTTTTCAATAACAAGTTACTAGAACACGGCAAGGAAGATGATGCACCAGTCCCCAACCAGTAAACACCTAAAGGTGATATAGGTGGTAAATATATGCTTTTTCTAGCTTATTTTCTATTGCTTTTCTTGTGTGTTTTTACTGTTTAAGTTCGTTTTTATGCGCTTTTGCTTTGTTTTCATGTTTTCCGTTAATAAGAAGCTTATGCAGCGAATCAAGACAAAAAAGGGCCAAATACCGTACAAAGGACCATCTCCAGTACAAAAAGTTAGAGGCAAACACGACCAGCCCGTGTCCTGTAACGCCCCGATATTTGATTATTTATTTAATTAAATATTGTTTTGAATATTTTATATTAATTCAAATTTTTATCGTCGAAGTCAGAATTATTTTATTTAGTGGCATGATAAATAATCGGATTTAATTTGGTGGAATTAATTTTAGAATTATCAGTATTACTCTAAGAAGCATAATTGGATAAATATGTTGAGTTGAGCGGTAAGTTGATGGTCGGATAAATTAGACGGTTTAGTCAGAGAACTATTATTAGAATATTAATTGCGAGTTAGTATTATTCTAAAGTGTGGATCGATCATAGTTGAAGAATATTATTGGAAATAATATTAGATTATATTATGTGACTATTTATTTAATTGGGCTTATGTTGTGATAGTAGTAATAGTGAGGTGTGTGTGTAGGCCCACTAAGAGAAATACTATTATTTGGATTAATAGAATAATATATATTATTATTAGAAAATAAGAAAGGAAGAGAGTTAGTGTTATCAGGAAGGAGAAGAGAAGAGGAAAATAAGGTTTTTGGAGAAGAAGAGAGCTACGTGAAGTTGAACCAAGAGGCCAAGAGGAGATTCAAATCGGAGACACATAGAGTTGTCATCAAATCAATCCAAGGTAAGGGTGGATTTTCTTATCTTATAATGGAGTATATGATATTTTGTATGTGGGATTATTATTGTTGATTTGTGTTGGTTGTGTTGTCTTGATAACATTATGAATAATTAATTTGATTATAGAATTTGTCAAAGAATTGGTGTATTACTGTGTTATATACTTGTCTGGATTTGATTTGGAATAGTAGACAGTAGCAGAAAGTTCATTAAAACAGTACCGAATGGACGAAAGAAGAAGAAAATATTGTGCCTGGATGCTGACGAACGGCAGCATGTTGTTGGTTGGATGTTGCCGAACGGCAGCTGGTTGTTGTATATGGGGGTTACCGTTCGGCAACCTTGGGGTAAAGGAGGATGTGCCGATCGACACAATGATGAAAGGAGGGGCGTGCCGTGAAGCACACCTGTATGTGATGGAAGGTGCTTGATTTATTTTTGTCGGTAGCATAAGCTTATTATATATTTATGTATCCGTTAGATATATAATTTAAGACCAGAGCAATGTTTTAACAGCATTAGCATAATTAGTGATATGGTAACTTAATAGTTTAATATAATTTAATAGATCAGTAGTATATACGACATAGTAGTATAATTAATCAAGATAGTAGATTATAAAATTAGTAGCATAGTTTGGTAGTTGGCAGAGTAGTAAAATTTAGTAGCATTTGAGATTTAATAGCAGTAAATTAAAATAATAACATGTTAAGTAGCAGCAATGATAGTATGGTTATTAACAAGGAAATAATTTAGTAGCCTTTGAGAATTAATAGCAGTGAATTAAATAAATACAAACAGTGGGAGTTAGTAGTGTTAATTAGAGGTGGATGATAATAGTAATGAATATGAACATTAGTGGTTTTAACCGGTATGATCGTGTAACAAAAAAAAATTAGTAATTTTAGTTGAAAATTAGTAACCGGTAAAGAATAAAAATCTATCCGAATAACTGTTTTGAGTTGTTGTTGTTGAATACGTTGTTATTTATATGTTGTGATTGATAAGTTGATTAAGTTGTAGGCTTATGCCAACATTGTCAAATACACTGTTGTTGTTGAATATGTTGTTGTTTATATGTTGTGATTGATAAGTTGATTAAGTTGTAGGTCTATGGCCAGTGTTGAAGGGATGGTGAGTACCTCTAATTATTGGTAAAATGACGATATAGGCTTATGCCTTTGTGACGGTGATTGTTGTTGTTGTATGTGATTATTGCATTCATTGAGTCATATACATTTGCATTATTAAGTTGGCCTGGATTGACACCACGTTGGCCTGGATTGGCAAAATATTAAGTTGAAGGCTTATGCCTTATGCCTCGAGATTACTGAAAAATGTTTTTAAGTTGAGAGTTATGCTCCAATGGTACCACATGCATGTGCATTATAATTGAGTTGCATTCGGTGTTGCATCTTGAATTGCGGTGAAGAAAGATTTATTGTTGCTTTATGTTGTTGACTTATTGTGACAGGTATCATTTAAAGGTTGTGAATTAGTTGTTATGTTGTGTTGATGCTTTGTTGAGATTAAAGATGTTTGAAAGTTGTGAAGTGGTGATTTTATATTTATGAGTTCTAATATATGATTTATCATGCACTCACTCTCTGTTGGTAACGTGCAGATAATCAAGAATAAAGTTTTGCTTAGCCTTATTAGTTCAAAGTCGGTTGGTCACTCTGATACGTAGCACTCGGGGGGAAATGAACAAATAGTTGTTTACTTGTTGAATTGTTTTAGTTTTTGAATCCTAAGTTTAATTATATGAAATAATGTGTTGCCTCTCAAGTTGTCTTAGTTGAATGAAACATATGATGCTACTTGAAGTTGTAATTATGATTCTGCTGCGTTATTAATAAAAGAAGTGGTTTTGTTTCAAAAGCTGATGCAAGTTGTCATGTATTCCTCCGAAAACTAAAGTGTTATGTATCTGTTTATGTGTTGCAACATGTTGAATTGTGATATCTCAAATGTGTTGGAAATTTTTAAATACTCTGATTTTTCGTTATAACTACCAGGTAGAATTTGGGGTGTTACATGTCCCATGACACGGGCTGTGTTATCCCTAATGAACTTCTCCTATACGATCACTAGAGGTTAACATGGTCAGCCCGTGTCACCTGACACGACCCATATTAGCAGTGCGGGCATTTACAAATTTTGCTTTGGATTCCTTTTCTTTTGGTTTTGTAACCCTTGTAACTCCCATTTCCTGATTCAAGACTCATTATGCATGAATTTAGTGAATGAAATTAGTGGCATAGCCCTTGAATTACTATAAATATGTTTCTTAGGGATCTTCTTTAGCATCACCTCTTACCACATTAATTTGTATTTTGTATCTCTTGAGCTATTGCTAGTTACTTTATGTTGTACCTCAAAATTTTCCCTCCCATTTTCTTCAAGACATTCTTCTAAGGTTCTTAACTGCTCAAGGATTCTAAAGATTGACCAAACAAACCCTCCTCCTAAGCATTGACCTATAACTAGGGTTTTGAATTTCTCAAGGAAAATTGGACTTCTAATGCCTCAAATTACTTTCATGGTTCATCATAGGTCCTCAGTAATGCTTATGTCAAGTTTCAAGTCTTGTATCACATGATTGCTCAGTCAATGGCTCAGATGACTGAAAATCAACTGCATCAGGTACAAATTTACTTGTAGTCAGCATACAGTCAAACTTCAAGATTTTTTGTCAATATTAACATTTTGAGGATACATTCATCATTTGATAAAAGGTTGATCATTATTCCTCAAGGAAAACCCTAAAATCCTCAAATGGTCAAAATATTGTCAAATTAGGGTTGTGACTGAAGATGACCGATCATTGACTTTTGGACTAGTGCATGACCTAATGGATTGAATCATTATCTCAAGGGCTCAAATACAACATCTTGACCTAATTTCATGGCTCAAGACATTTCCAAAGATACTAGTGATTGATAGTTGAAAATTTGAATCAATTGATGAAAAGTCAACAGTCATACAAAAGTCAAACTTTGACTTTTTGGTCAACACTGGAATTCAAAAATCAAGAATCATCAAAACATTCAAAACTATCAAACTTGATCATCAAGAATAAAAAAGTCAACAAAAGTCAAAAGTCAAAATTTTCAAACACTTAGAAAAAATTCAAGTGTTTTGTGCTTAAAAAACCCTAACTTCACAAGCAAGTTTCCTCAAGATACGAGCTAATTCAAGGAAAACTTTCAACATGAAAGTTGTAGGTATTGATGAACTCTACAACTTTGATATTGTAGGGTGATCCTAAAAAGTGCTTGATTTAAGAGATATGAGCCCATGAAGTTATGATATTTTTTATCTAACACTTAGAAATTTTTTCAACAAGTTTTAATCAGTTTTTTGTCCCAACTTCATGGCCAATTTCCACCAAGTTCCCATTTTATTTAGACAAAATGATCAACATGAAAGTTGTAGACAATATTTGAAGCTTTCCAAAATGTCCAAGAACACATTTTTATCATACTTTAGCTAGGAGATTCGAAGATATGAAGTTGGGCATCCATTCTTAAATTTCAAGTCATTTTGTGAAGAACTCAAGACCAAATCTCATAACCTTATCATTCAATCTCACTTTTCAGGCCATGTTTCTTATAAATCTCCACATAATCAGAGATTCACACAAAATTATGGTGCTTTACACAAAGATTTGAAGCTTTATCCACTTGATCATACCATTTTTAGATGAAATTGCAAAAATCTCCATATCCATTTGCATAAAGATCACTTTAATCACAAAGTCCACTCCTTGATCCTATAACTTATTTCTTCTGATCGCACTCAACATGAATGCTCAGAAGCAATATCTCTAAGCCTACCAACCACCCTATTGATGCATTGGAACAAAAATTCTAACACAAACTTGGTTGTTTCACTTCAACCAAACCAAAACTCTATCACTTGCAAAACTGACCATCTAATTATCTCTAACCTTTGCCTATAAATATTAAGATAATTTGCAAGCCACAACACGATTAGAAAATCCCTCTAACCCTCTCAAACTCTCCAAAATCATAATTGGCCTAAAAAAAACTCCACTTTTGAGCTTTGAAACCCAAATCTTAGAATCTCTCAAACCTTGCAACTTTTGTCCAAACCAATCATCCAAACACTTCATATACATCATATATAGTTGATGCAAACACCTGTTTCATCACTGTAACATCCTCTTCAACATCCACCATTTTTAAAATCCAACTTTGCAACTTGACTTGAGAAGACTGATCCAGAACCTCTCAAGGAAAAGTAAGAGTTACAACATACTCACCAAGGTCCAAGGAAGCTAAAGCAAGCATCACATTACTTCTGGAAGTCGTGTAAAGGACATTGAATTTTTGCATCAAGAGGTAAGTTTTTCAAACTTTGAAATCTCTTTACAAGCATCATTTGCATTTATTTTCTAAAGGAAAATGTAGATATCATGTATATGAAGCTAACCATATCTTTAGTTTTCATTTTAATTGACCGTGTGATGAGAATTTTGAAACTGATTTTTTTGAACACTTAGGTTTTCGTTTGGTACCAATAGAAAATTCGTGAAAATATTTGAATTATAGCTTTATAAAATAATACAATTAGACTCCTTGCGAAATTCTAAGCAAGTTTGGTTTTTATATCTTTAAAAATGGTTGAGAAATGAGGAGTTAGAATTTTTTAGAATGAAAGTTATGTTGTTACAGTTACCGTAAGAACGTGCAAAGGAAGAAGAAGAAGGAAATTGCATTTTCAAATTTTCAACATTGAGTTCATATTTTATTTAATGATTGTTGTTTTATCACCGTATATAACATCCACCCCAGTGGCAAGCAGCGTGCGTTTCATGTCACTTTCACCTCAAGGGCGCGTTTTAGAACCAAAGTGAACCCCCCTTTATGCATTTTTTCATATTTTTTCTATTTTGTGACTTTCTGAAGTGTTTTTCATATATATTTATACTAAGGCACTACCTTGACAAATACATACGCGTGGCTTGGTGGTAAGATTTTGAAACTGTGACCCTAAGGTTCTGAGTTCAAGCCTTGGTGTAAGCAAAAATCTAAGTTTTATCACTTGTTTTTTTTCTTTGGTTTTATATCAAACTTCACTCAATATTTTTAACCAATACAAAATTTTCCTTTTAAGATAATTTTTTGCACACTCCTTATTTGTATACTCTATTTTATGAGTATAAAAAAATATCACAATTTTTTTTATTTCATTATTTTTCAATTAAATCAAGATGCTACCTTTTTAGGTTTTTTTAAAGAGATTTTTGTTGATCTTTTGATCAAATTTTCAACTTTGCTCCAAAGTTTGATTTTACCATGATAGATCTTGGTTCTCATGAGATATCTTGACCCTTGAGTAAACATTTAATGATAGCTTGAGCCTTCTTAGGAC